CCCCCCCCCAATGTTCCAGCCAAAGTTACGTCCATAGCACCAGCAAAAGAAATACTAGTGTTAAATACCAGCATGAGATTTTTTTAATGAACATTTCTATGGGGTACATAACCTCATTGTCTTCCTGTGATCAATCTAAAATCATTGGAGGGGGGAGATGTGACGGCCAATCGGGGAGCACATTGCTGTAGATCCAGTTCTGCAACCACATGGTTGGGCAAAGGCCAAACCACAAGGCTAACTGTGCTTAACCAACAATGAAACTCTTTAGTCTCACACAAAGGCAGCTGAGGGGTATAGATTACATGAGGCAGGAAGACGATGTGCACCAATATAAACATACAAGGCCACTGAAAAAACTAAATTGGGGCTAGAGACAGAAAAACACTTTGTGGTTTAGGGCTCTGCGATAATCAGAATCAGCTGCGTTCACACACAGGGAATTTGTCTGCAGTTGTCAATGGCTGTCATGCATACAGAAGGTACAGACCCAGTTTAGACAAGACAATAGCAGGGTCACCAGCTCTCACGCTCATGCTTTCTGACTCTCATGCTCACGTAAGAAATCTCACAGCAAATCTATATTATTCCATTACAAACCTAAAATTAGCTTTATCATAGGTGTTGGGGCAGTTTGCAAACCCTACAGACTGTTTACAAGGTAATGAAACGCTTACATACATGTAAATGAGTGTGCATGTGTGTGCAGACTGGTCTCAAATTGAAAATCTCACACCAGCCAGCAGAACAACGTTGGCAAACCTGCAATAATCACATACAGTCCATTTGATATATAGAACATGCATTTATAGTGGATAATTGTGTAAAAAGAGCAAGAGAACAGTACAAGTAATGCAGGAATAAATGCAACATATACAGTACAATGCCATAAATACAAAGAACCATTAACAACTGTTAGGTTTCGTATGGTTAGGGGGGTAACAGTGTGACTGAGACCGATGGCTTGTGGGAACAAAATGTACTTGCAGCTGTTTGTTTTGTTACACAGTGACCTGTAGCGTCTGCCAGAGGCAGGGGCGCCGTAAGGGGGAGGAAAGCTAGGACGATTGACAGGGGCCCTAAAAAATTAGGAAAATAACTGGATTGGTTTGGACTGGGGGGCCTAGTATGATATGCTTTCATGGGGCCCAAAATCTCTAGCAGCGCCCCTGGTCAGAGGTGAGAAGTGCAAAGAGGCTGTGATGATTTTCAGTAACACTGCATTTAAAGGGATACAAATAATGCACTCTTACGCAATATATTAACAGAAATGAAGTGTTAGTTATGTACTGACCTTATGTTAACTGTTAATCAATCATAACAGTTCATGTATGCCACACATTTACTATATTTGTTCATGATTTGTACTTGAGTAGTAACTGCTGTTTTGAATTGTATCCAGCATATGCAGATTAAACTGATCCACAGAGTATCTGCAGCTGATGTATTTGTATCTGAACAATGATTTATTTACACTACAAAACATGACCTTTGCATAGACATCTTGGTGTCCCACAGACCTCAGTTATACAATAACTCTCTTTAAAAGTTAATATTTACACTTCATACAATGAGTTTAATCCCTAAAAGGTTTTAATAAGATAAAAACACCTAATAAAACTTTAATAAGGTGTAACTTATTATTCCTACTGCTCTTATTAATGGTGAATAATCATGGTGAGTCTTGTATTACTGTTGCGTTTGTGATACACTGAGCACTTTGGATGAAGGTTTTCACACTCCAGTCAAGAACAGATGTTGCCAAAAAATGCAAAGAAAAAAAAAAAAGCAAGGATTATTTGACTGCAGAGAGTTTTATATTACAAAGATGTTAAATAGGCAAACATAAAGAGATCCTCCTGTGCAATGATGCTTGTATAGGTCGTATTTTCTAGGTTTAAAATTACTCCTACTTTTTGTTATTCAGTTAGTAAATTATTTTAGTCTGGTTTGAATTATTGGGTAATCCAGTGGTGCTGGAAAAATGTGCACAGTGCGCTGCCAGCAGAAGGACTGCAGAACCATTTAAAAAATCTAATTCATACTTTCTATGGGCTCTTCTTAAGGGATCTTTCCATCAGAGGTGGAGATTTCAGGTCCAGAGAGTATAAATCTAGACTGAGATTTTGTTTCAACCAGCTAGTTGAGCATAAAGAGTCATAGTCACAGATACTCAGCTGCTTGTAGAAACAAAATCTTGGTCTGGATTTGTACTTTATGGACCTGAAACCTCCGCCTCTGCTTTCCATACATGTTTACATGTGTCTTTCTTTACGTTTACTGTTAGTTGTGATGCTGGTTAAGAATCTAATGGAAAAAGTACAAAGGACATTTTTTGAACATCTCTGCCTCCTGTGTTTTCACTGGTTAATACAAAAACACATTGGTACCATGTGCAGACTTATATAGATCTTTTCTCCTCCTACTGAAAGGCCAGCCCCTAGAAGGTGTGATCTTCTCATCCTTCAAACCTAAATATGCTTGTCAAAGACAGAATATCACAGCTTAGCTATGGCTCTAGTGCAGGAACTTGTACAAACCCCAAGTGTTTTCACTCTTGTTGCTGCCCTGCTGGTTCTTCTTGTCTTCTGTCTTCTCTCCACCAATCACAAGGGAAAGGAGCCCCCAGGACCCAGACCTTTGCCTCTCCTAGGAAACCTGCTGCAGCTGGACCTCAAGAGACCCCATCTCTCACTCGCAAAGGTATAACATTTCTGTTGTTACTTTCATTATTTTCATAAAGTAAACGGTCAGTTTTTATTTTCTCCCGCAATTTATGTTGCACTTTAGAAATTGGGTCATATTTCAGTCTTTAAAAGCGGCATCTCAGCACTTTCTGTCTTGGATTTTCTCCAGCTATATAAACAATATGGATCTGTGTTCACCGTGTACTTCGGCCCCAAGAAAGTGGTGGTGCTCGCGGGCTACAGGACAGTGAGAGAGGCCCTGGTTAACCATGCAGTGGAGTTTGGAGACCGGGATATGCAGCCAGTATTTCATGATTTCTCCCATGAACATGGTACGAACAAGAACCACCTCTGACATGTTTCAGCACGATGCGTTCAGCATTACCCTCATTTACTGGGTGAGTTTTAGTGTAAACAAAGAAAGATTTGGGGTAAGCGTCTTAATCTATTTCAATGTGCATATAGCTCGGGCAAGCAATGTAGATGCAGGGCAATTACAAAAAACTGTACACTAGCCCGCTGGCTAGCAAATAAAAAAATAAATGTTGAACTGTATTATTTCACTGAACTAGTCCAGGTGATGAGTAACAGAAATTCTTAAATTCCACCTCTGAATGTGCTTTACAGTTATTTAGCTCATTTCCTTTATCCATAGTAATGTACAATTGAGGAAACAGGGTCAGACAGTCCATGAAGCAGCTGGCGTTAAGGACCTTAAAGGCATCATGGTAAAATGACCAAATCTGGGACTGGAACTGATGGCTTTTCGATCACAGCCAGAGAACTCACATCCTAATCAGCTAAGCCACACTCCATCCCAGTTAAAATATGAAGATGAAAAACATGCAAGCGCTCCTATCTCACACAGGAGTCCTATTCGCCAATGGAGACTCATGGAAGGAGATGAGGCGCTTTGCTCTGTCTACCCTTCGAGACTTTGGGATGGGAAAACGAGGGATTGAAGAGAAAATTATTGAGGAGATCCACTACGTGACAGAGGTGTTTGCAGACTTTACAGGTTAGCTATTACGATGTTTACAAAAAAATGCTGAATTTATATATTTTTATAATTCACTAATTTAGTACAATGGACAAACATCCTTAAATCTGTATTGTTCTTGCTGTCTTTTTTGACTCCATTAGATGTTGCTCTCATTTCAAAAAAGGGTACGAAGCATGCCCCAAAACAAGCCAAGAGCGCCATCTAGTGGGCCATACACTTAATGTTATGGTGCAGGTCCACTACTTGATGGCAGTACAGAACCTTGATACAGGCAGTCACTGTGTTATGGACGTTCGGCTTACAGAAAATATTCATGAAAATATTGCATGGCTTCAGTGGTTCATCGGCTAAAGATACAATACAGTACCGTATTTAATTACTTTTATCAATACTGCATACAGTGATTATCATTGTTATCATGTACTGTATTATTGGTTTCCTGCTTACCTACAAATTCGACTTAAAGTCAGACTTAGGATCTCGTTCGTAACCTGGGGACTGCCAGAATATCTTTTTTTATGGGTTTTTTTTTTACGCAAAAAAAAAAATAAAAAATACAAATTTAGCGCCCTGCTGGCTGCCGCATGTGTATGTGCACTTGGTCAGAGTCATTTATCCTGATATTTTTAAATCAAAATATTGCAATATAGACCAAGCCCTAACAGGTATCAGTACTGGTGAGTACCCAAAAGCAAGCATCCATACTCATACTTGAACTGTTTAAAAATGTTGCAACCTTATGTGTATTAATGACTGTTCACCTCATATTTTCTATACTGTTATGCAATTTCCTACGTAAATTTTGGATATATAGTGAATTTCTGCAACTTTAGAATTGCTTCAATGACCCTTCACGCCTTGTTTATTTTACAGTGGTTCAAACATATTCAAATTGCTACATAAATATTCTTTCCTTTGATTTTTCCCTTTTTTCCTGCTGTCAGGCAAACCATTTGACACCACTGAAGCACTGAATCACTCAGTCTCCAACATCATTTCTTCCATCGTCTACGGCAACAGGTTTGAATATGACGACCCAGAGTTCCAGAAGATGGTCTATCTGGCAAAGCAACGTATCAAGCTCACCGGATCACCTGGCATTAATGTACTTAAACTTTTTATTTTTCTTTTAATTTCCTTCTCTGATCAGAGAGGTGTATGAGGTCTCTAGTGCAGAGATCTTCATACAACCTACAATTAAATCAATTTAAGCCAATATTTGAATTGAAACAGAAATTATACAGTAATAATTTATATTTAAAACAGTAAGGTTATAAGATGTGGGTATTATATACATGTACATAATAACCATGCTATATATATATATATATATATATATATATATATATATATATATATATATATATATATATATACTGTATATACACACACACTTAGTATATATATTACTGGGGCTGAATGATATTCAAAGTTCATAATGTGATATTTGATATTCTTGTGATACATATTGTGATATTTATAAAGCAAAAAAAGGACTTAAAAAGTATACCTAAAATGAAACTGTAGCTAAGCTTACAAAGTTTTGTTTCCTGTGACAGAGTAAAAACGTTTTTACAAAACTTATTGATGGTATCAATAAGTGCAGGCAATGCTCTTTGTAACCTGTGATCGGTTGGGGCCCCGTCCAGGGTTTGTTCCTACCTTGCACCGATTGTAATGTATAAATATTGTACTTTGTATATATCATATATAAACAATAACTGAATTAGTCATCAAATTAATCAGTAGATTACTCAGTTACTCACAAGTGACATCCCTACAGTATATTCTGATATGATGGCACACAGAGACCGTAATACGTTTGGTGGTGGTATGCGGTGTAAATAGCTTGTGGACCACTGCTTCAGATGGCTTTAGCCACAATTATCAGCCCAGACACACTTCGAAATTATAATGAAACCCCGCCCACCAGTACATCATTTTCCACAGAGACTAAAAAACAAGAATGAGCACTGCTAATCAAATATCGTTAAACAGTAATGCTGTATATTTATTAAGAATCATTATGGCATGATAACTGGAGGATTGTTTAAGAATAGGTTTAAGAATAGGTTTAAGAATAGGTTGCATGTACCTTCAGCATACAATTGTCTGCCATAATATTAATGGTAAGACAACATTAATATTATATGGTATTTTTTTCCTGTTTGTGGTGGCAGCTGTACAACATGTTTCCAAGGTTGCGCCCTTGGCTGAAGGTATGGACCACCCTGATGAACACTATTGAGGTCAGCTTGGAGCAGGAGCGAGAACTTATTAGAAAACTTCAGGAAACTCTGAATGCTGAGGACAAGAGAGGCTTTATAGATGCCTTCCTTCTCCGACAGCAGGAAGTCAAGGTACCTCAGTCTTTGCACATGTCATACATGGCTTCCATGGCTGATATGGTGCCTTTGTATTCATTAACCAAACCTTCTTCTGTCATCTCTAAAAGACGTCTG